CTATAGTCTAGTCTAGTCTGTAGTCTAGTCTATAGTCTAGTCTATTGTCTAGTCTATAGTCTATAGCATATAGTCTAGTCTATAGTCTAGTCTATAGTTAGTCTATAGTCTAGTCTATAGTCTAGTCTATAGTCTAGTCTATAGTCTAGTCTATAGTCTAGTCTATAGTCTAGTCTATAGTCTAGTCTATAGTCTAGTCTATAGTCTAGTCTATAGTCTAGTCTATAGTCTAGTCTATAGTCTAGTCTATAGTCTAGTCTATAGTCTAGTCTATAGTCTAGTCTATAGTCTAGTCTATAGTCTAGTCTATGGTGTAGTCTATAGTCTGGTCTATAGTCAGTCTATAGTCTAGTCTATAGTCTAGTCTATAGTCTAGTCTATAGTCTAGTCTATAGTCTAGTCTATAGTCTAGTCTATAGTCTAGTCTATAGTCTAGTCTATAGTCTAGTCTATAGTCTAGTCTATAGTCTAGTCTATAGTCTAGTCTATAGTCTAGTCTATAGTCTAGTCTATAGTCTAGTCTATAGTCTAGTCTATAGTCTAGTCTATAGTCTAGTCTATAGTCTAGTCTATAGTCTAGTCTACAGTCTAGTCTATAGTCTAGTCTATAGTCTAGTCTAGTCTAGTCTATAGTCTAGTCTATAGTCTAGTCTATAGTCTAGTCTATAGTCTAGTCTATAGTCTAGTCTATAGTCTAGTCTATAGTCTAGTCTATAGTCTAGTCTATAGTCTAGTCTATAGTCTAGTCTATAGTCTTGTCTATATTCGAGTCTATAGTCTAGTCTATAGTCTAGTCTATAGTCTAGTCTATAGTCTAGTCTATAGTCTAGTCTATAATCTAAACTATTGTCTAGTCTATAGTCTAGTCTATAGTCTAGACTATAATCTACACTATAGTCTAGTCTATAATCTAGTCTATAGTCTAGACTATAATCTAGACTATAGTCTAGTCTATGGTCTAGACTATAGTCTAGTCTATAGTCTAGTCTATAGTCTAGTCTATAGTCTAGTCTATAGTCTAGTCTATAGTCTAGTCTATAGTCTAGTCTATAGTGCTGTCTATAGTCCAGTCTATAGTCTATTCTATAGTGCTGTCTATAGTCCAGTCTATAGTCTTGTATATAGTTTAGTAAATAGTCTATTCTTTAGAATAGACTATAGTTTAGTCTTTAATCTATTATAAAGTATATTCTATATTCTAGTCTATATATAAAGTCTAATCTATAATCTTTTCAACACTCTAGATTATATTCCAATCTTTAGCACAGAATATAGTTTAGTCTGTAGTCCTGACTAAAGTTTATTTTTTAGTTCAGAATATGGTCCAGACTATCGTCCGTCTACATTACATACTATAGTTTTGTTTATAGTCCAGCGTATAGTCCAGTCTATTATTTAATCTAGTTGTAGTACAAGCTTAGTCGGTCAGATATAGAGTAGACTATCTATATCTGACCGACTTAGAAGTTCGATGTGTTACTTACGTATTGATAAAATTAATATACCCTCTAAGTTTTTCTTAGCGTGGGTAAAAATAACTTTAACAAAGTCGTATATTTGGCGCCTGATATCACATTCTACTATATAAAATGGGAATTTCCTCTTGAATATATGTAGATATGTATATGCAGCGATGTTTTGAGGGTCTGAACTGAATTTTTGAATAATTAATGAAATTCTATGATCGATAAGCCACCTGTAAGTAGTATTGTGCATATAAATTTTGACTGTAGATAAGAAGAATGAATAGAACTATTTCGAATATTATATGTATATATTCCCACCAGCCGAGGCTTATCGATCAGATAATTCTTACACATGTTAAGCACGATGACAAAATCAATAATCATTCTCTTTTGTTTTGGCGTAGTAAAAAATTCATCAATGAATTCCACTATTTGGCTCCTGGTATAATAATTTTTTTTAATTGGGCTATAAAGATTAAACTACAATGGAATATCTCAAATCTAGGAGGTTTAACAGTCAACTCGAACTTTCTTTATTTAAAGTCATAATTCTTCTGATATTTAGTTTTATGATTTATTTTATTTTGTTTTAACATTAAAACGTATTATTAGATATAGTAGATAAAAATAATAGTTGAAAAAATCTATTCAAATAATTAAAATAAAATTTGATTTCGGTTGTCTATTAGAAAGATTTAATTATGTTGTGATTAATCTGATCTTTAATGAGATCAAATCGTCTCTTAAAGTTCTTGTATAGAAGATAGAATTGAATCGAATTGCCAACTACTTCTAGTACAGAATCTGAATACAAGAATGATTAATAAGTCTTAAAATTTTATCAAATTATCTATAAAGTTTTTCTATTTTCGTGCCTAAACAAAAGAAGTTATAAAATAATATCCCCAGTTGAGTTAACTTTGAAACCCCCCGATTTTAGATTTTCACTTGCAGTTTAATCTTTATAGCCATAATAAATAATCATTAATTTATTATACCGGGAGCCAAATATTCCAATTCATTTATGTGTTATTTTTACCCACGCAAAAGAAAAAAACAACTTAAGGTGATATACATACATAAATATAATTTTGGGTAAAAAAAATTGCTCTGAACTATAGACTATAGTCTGAGCTATAGACTATACTGTATACTGGTCATTACTTTAGATTATAATATAGTTAGGACTATAGATTAAACGATTGTCAGGACTATATATTAGATTATAGATAACACTATATTAAGGACTATAGGCTACACTATAGACTAAACTATAGACTAGATTATAGACTTGAATATAGACTAGAATATAAACTAAACTATACACTACACAATTGTCTAGACCATACACTAAACTATAGACTAAACTATATACTAAATTATAGACTGAACTATAGACAAGAATATTGACTAAACTATAAACTTAACTATAGACTAGACTAGTCTAGGCTTTGCTTTAGTTTATAGTATAAACTGTAGACTAAAATGTATACTGAACTATAACAAGATTATTGACTAGACTATAGACTAGATTATAGGCAATAGGTTAGACTAGAGACTAAACTAAATACTAGACTTTAGACAAGACTATGGACTAGACTATAGACTATACTACAGACTAGACTTGGCTAGACTACAGACTAGACTAAAGACTAGACTATAGACTAGACTATAGACTAGACTATAGACTAGACCATAGACTAGACTATAGACTAGACTACAGACTAGACTATAGACTAGACTATAGACTATACTATAGACTAGACTATAGACTAGACTATAGACTAGACTATAGACTAGACCATAGACTAGACTATAGACAAAACTATAGACAAAACTATGGACTAGACTATAGACAGACTATAGACTAGACTATAGACTAGACTATAGACTAGACTATAGACTAGACTATAGACTAGACTATAGACTAGACTATAGACTAGACTATAGACTAGACTATAGACTAGACTATAGACTAGACTATAGACTAGACTATAGACTAGACTATAGACTAGACTATAGACTAGACTATAGACTAGACTATAGACTAGACTATAGACTAGACTATAGACTAGACTATAGACTAGACTATAACTAGACTAGACTACTAGACTAGACTATAGACTAAGACTATAGACTAGACTATAGACTACTATAAGACTATAGACCTAGACTAGACTATAGACTAGACTATAGACTAGACTATAGACTAGACTATAGACTAGACTATAGACTATACTATAGACTAACTAAGACTAGACTATAGACTAGACTATAGACTAGACTATAGACTAGACTATAGACTAGACTATAGACTAGACTATAGACTAGACTATAGACTAGACTATAGACGAGACTAGACTAGACGATAGACTAGACTAATAGACTAGACTATAGACTAGACTATAGACTAGACTATAGACTAGACTATAGACTAGACTATAGACGAGACTATAGACTAAGACTATAGACTAGACTATAGACTAGACTATAGGACTAGACTATAGACTAGACTATAGACTAGACTATAGACTAGACTATAGACTAGACTATAGAACTAGACTATAGACTAGACTATAGACTAGACTAGCGTATAGACTAGACTATAGACTAGACTATAGACTAGACTATAGACTAGACTATAGACTAGACTATAGACTAGACTATAGACTAGACTATAGACTAGACTATAGACTAGACTATAGACTAGACTAGACTATAGACTAGACTATAGACTAGACTATAGACTAGACTATAGACTAGACTATAGACTAGACTATAGACTAGACTATAGACTAGACTATAGACTAGACTATAGACTAGACTATAGACTAGACTATAGACTAGACTAGACTATAGACTAAAGTATAGACTAGACTATAGACTAGACTATAGACTAGACTAGACTATAGACTAGACTAGACTAGACTATAGACTAGACTAGACTATAAACTAGACTAGACTATAAACTATAGACTAGACTAGACTATAGACTAGACTATAGACTAGACTATAGACTAGACTATAGACCTAGACTATAGACTAGACTATAGACTAGACTATAGACTAGACTATAGACTAGACTATAGACTAGACTATAGACTAGACTATAGACTGGACTGTACAATAGACTATAGACTAGATTATAGTATATACTAAAGTCTTGACTTTAAACTGGACTGCAGCCTGGAGTACAGTCTAGATTATGCTCTTGACTATGGTCTGAACTGTGTAGTAGAGTATATTTCTGGATTATTGATTATAGACCATTTTAAACATTATAATTCGCTAATAAGACGCTAATAAGATTCGGTACCGCGGACTAACCTATAAGATTCTTAATTATTATATATACTCTATTCTTTCGACTTATCTAATCAGATTAACCAAAGGAGGACGTTTTGAATGCACATATTGATTATATTTAAAATTTATATATGCTGTCTTATCAATCATAGATTTTGTTAATCATTCAAACATTCTATTCGCGGCCGCAATCGTAGCGTATAAATTCCAGAGCAAATTTACATTTTCAATCATTAAAAAATTCAAACTTTTAAAAAATGAAATTGTTTATATTACTCTTGAGTTTTTGCTGTTTGGCGGTAGCCTTACAGGAGTCGCAAATACAGGAGCAGTGGTTAAGTTTTAAAAGCAAATATGGCAAAAAATATCGTAACGCATTGGAGGATACCCAACGTTTTGTGAATTTTAAGAAAAATCTATTTAAAATTAAACAACACAACCAGCGTTATGAGCAGGGCTTGGAAAGCTATGAAATGTCACTGAATGCTTTTAGTGATATGGATTTGAAAGAAATGCAACGGACATATATGGGCTTAAAAATGCCGAAAAAGTTAGTTTTATAAAGCTAATTTTTTAAAAGAATATAGTAAATAAATTGTAAATTTTTCTTTTAAAGTTCTCAGGAATTATTGCAAAATGCTACTTTGTACCAAGCTCCTCTAAAGCAACGTTTTAGTTTACCCAGTCATGTGGATTGGCGTGACCGCGGTGCGATTACACCCGTAAAAAATCAAAAGGCTTGTGGTTCATGTTGGGCTTTTGCCAGTGTGGCGGCTTTGGAGGCCCATTATTATTTGAAATACCAAGATACTGTTTTCCTAAGTGAACAGAACTTAGTGGATTGCGTTACGGAGAATTGGGGCTGTGATGGTGGTTGGATGATACCTAGTTTTCTATATGTCCAAAGTAATACTGGCATTAATTACGAATCTAT